CCCACTTTGTAATGGGACTGTTTGTTTTTTGATTTTCAGCACGTTTGAGTTCCTTGTAGATCCTTGATGTTAGGCCTTTGTCAGACCTGAAGTTGGCAAATATTTTTTCCCAGTCTGTGGGCCGTCTCCCTACTTTCTTGATAGTTTCTTTGACTTTACAGAAGCTTGTCAGTTTAATGAGGTCCCACTTGTTCTCTTATCTCTTATGGCCTGGGCACTTTGGGTTTTGATCAGGAATCGGTTGCCAGTTCCAACTTCCATGAGTGTCTCCTGCATTTTCTAAGGTTCTTACAGTTTGAGGTTTTACATTTAGGTCTGTGATCCATTTAGAGTTCATTTTTGTGTATGGGGATAGGTAGGAGTCCTGTTTCAATCTTCTGCATGTGGTCGAGTGGAGTCTTTAATCTATTAATAGTTGATGTAATTTAGATTTATTTCTACCATTTTGGTACTTGTGGTTATTTTTTATATGTCTTGTCTTTTCTGTTTGCTTGTTCCTCCTTTGTTGCCTTATTTTGTGCTTAGTAGATATTTCTTAATGTATGACTTGTTGCGGTTGTCTTTTGTTTGTTTTCACTATTTTTACATTATCTTAGTAGTTGCTCTGGATATTACAGTAGGCATCTTAATTATCACAGTCTAATTTAATTGATGCTAGTTTAATTCTCTAATACAAATTCTTTCTCCCTCCTTTATGCTAGTGTTGTCATATATATCTATATTTGCTATAAACCCAACTATAGTTTTATTATTCCTGCTTTATATAATCTTATATCTTTTGAAAAATTTAGAGAAGAACAATTGAAAATATATATTTTATATTTACCCCATATTTGTTTTTCCCAGTGCTGTTCCCTTATTTGTGAGGATTCAGGTTACCACCTGGTATCATTTCCTTTTAGCCTGAAAAACTTCCTTTAGCATATCTTATAAGTCTGATTTATAAGCAATGGATTTTCTGTAAGTCTTTGAGATGTCTTTATTTCATTTTTTTTTTTTCAAGAAAGCAGGATTTATTGAGAGGACAGAAAAGCTCCCACAATGGGAGGGGACCCAAAAGGGTTGCCCTCCTCTTCATTTTTGAAAGATAGTTTTGCCAGATATGGTGGCTCACGCCTGTAATCTCAGCATTTGGGAGGCAGAGATGAGAGGATTGCTTGAGCCCAGGGATTCAAGACCAACCTGGGCAACTTGGCAAGACCTCGTCTCTATAATAAATAAATAAATAATTAGCCAGGCGTGGTAGCACACACCTGTAGTTCCAGCTACTTGGACAGCTGAGATGGCAGGATTGCCTGAGCCTAGCAGGTGGAGGCTGCAGTAGCTGTCAATGTGCCACTGCACTCCAGCCTGGGTGACAGAGTGAGACTCTAACTCAAAAAAAAAAAAGTTTTGCTGGATATGAAATTCTTGCTTGACAATTTTTTTTTTATTTTAACCCTTTGAATGTTATTTTACTGTCTTCTGGCTTCCTTTGCTTTTGATAAGAAATCAGCTGTCATGTTGCTGGTTCCCTGTACATGATGAGGTTTTGTTTTTGATGGTTTTTTGCTTTCAAGATTTTCTGGTTTTGGCTTTTGTCAGTTTCATTATGATGTGTTTAGGTGTGGATGTTTTTGTATGTGTTGCAACTGTATAGTTCTATTGAGCTTCTAAAGTCTTTAGATACATTTAGAAAACCAGTTTGCATTGTTTTCAGTTATTATTTTTGTCCTCTCATGCTTCGCTTCTTCTAGAACTTGTAATTTTGTATATAGTGACACACTTGACATGACTCACTGCAGCTTCAAACTCTTAGGCTCTTCAAGAAGTCTTCCTTCCTCAGCCTCCCAAGTAGCTGAAACTATTGGCACATGCCACCACGCCCAACTAATTTTTTTTTTTTTTAGAGAGACTAGTTCTCACTATGTTGTCCCAGGCTAGTCTTGAACTCCTGGACTCAAGCAGCCTTCCTGTCTCAGCTTCACAAAGTGCTTGGATTACAGGCATGAGCCACATGCCTGGCTGATTTTTTTCTTCTACTCCTATTCAACATCAGAATTTTTATTTTGCTCTTTTCAAATAATTTCCATCTCCTTGTTAAGATTTTCTGTTTGTTTTAGACATTGTCATATTTTTCTTTAGTCCTTTAAATAATTTTGAAGTCTTTGTTTGCTAAGTTTGGCATTTGGGCCTACATAGGGGCATATTCAATTCTGTGTTGTTGTTTTTCTTCCTGATCTTGGGTCACACTTTACTACATTTTTGCATGTCTCATAATTTTTTTTTTTTTTTTTTTGAGTTGGAGTCTCACTCTGTTGCCCAGGCTGGAGTGCAGTGGCATGCTCCTGGCCACCGCAGCCTTAACCTGCTGGGCTCAGATGATCCTTCCACCTCAGCCTTCCCAGTGGCCAGAACTATGGTGTATGCTACCATGCCCAGCTAATTTTTTGATTTATTGTAGAGATGCAGTCTCACCATGTGCCCAGGCTGGTCTTGAACCCACAGACTCAGGCAATCCTCTCTCCTCGGCCTCCCAACGTACTGGGATTATAGGCTTGAGACACCCTACCTGACCTATGTCATAATTTTTTGTTGAAACTGGACGACATTGTACATAATATATTGTAGCACTTTAATTTCTTTATTTTTCCCCCTCCTGAGGGTTGTTGTTGCTTTGTTATTGTTTTTAGGTAATGTGCCTAGACTAAATCTATTGTATGTAGCTATTGATATTTCTGCTCAGTTTTTATTTTATTGGTTTTTTTTTTTTTGAGTTGGAGTCTCACTCTGTCGCCCAGACTGGAGTGCAGTGGCCGCTCCCGGCCACCGCAGCCTCGACCTGC